GGTGCCTTCCAATCGAATTCCCGTGGCTTCCTTCGCACTGGATCACCCCTATTGCTGACATTCATATCTGGGATGTTGATGTCTGCATTAGGGTTTAGCTGCGGGTTCTGTAAGGGGCTTGCCATTGTCTGGGGCTGATTAAGTCGATGGTTAATGTATCCTCCTTGTGTAAAAGACAATAAATCGTCCTTTAATGTATCTAATTCGCTTTTAAATTTACTAATGTTTTTCATTTGTACTTCTTGCCACTGTTGTTGACTTTCCTGTAGTTGCTGCTGACTTTCCTGCAACTGTTGGAGACTTTCTTCCTGTTTCCTTTCTTGTTCTAATTGCCACTGCTGTAATCTCTCTTCTTGTTTCTTTTCTTTTTCCTCCAACAACTGCTGTAATTTCTCTTCTTGTTTATTTTGCTGTTCAAGCTGCCACTGTTGCAGGTTTTCTTGCAACTGCTGTTGTCTCTCTTCTTGTTTATTTTCTCGTTCTTGTTTCTTTTGCTGCTCTTGTATTGCTGCCGTCAAATCTGCTAAGCTGTAGTTTGATTTTCCGCCTCTCGTTTCCATCTTCTTCTTTTTTTTTTCTGTCCCACTCTCTGACACCAATTTGTTATGTCTCATGTTGTTAGTTAATTTTCCGTGTAATTTCTTTTCGAAGAAACTTTAGCGATACAAGTCCTTTCTTAAATAAAACTGGTTTATTCTTCCTAAATACAACTTTTCAATACACTTAATTTCCACAGTCACGCTATAACAAACGCTATAATTCACAACGAACGTCTCACATGCTCGTCTCAACAATACATCTCTCTCTCTCTCTCTGTCCGCAGTTCAATTACCCATTGTTGCCGTCTCGTCTTGACCGTCTTATATGTACAAGAATACCGAAATCTGGTAAACTCCCGACGCTTCATGAACGTTCTAGAAGCGCGTGACGTGACCTCCCCTGTCGTAACAATATATATAAATACCTCTAGATTCAAAATCAGAATTACTACATTTAGGACTTATTTACAACTTATAAATGTACATAAACTTACTATAAGAAGGAATATCTATTGGTGAATCTAAAAGAACATTTGACGCCAAGTACTGTAAATTAGATCAGTTTAACACTGAGACAATGTAGCATATAAGCCACTAGAATACTAAGTTTCCTTCTCAAAATAATTTATTTCTTGTAATTTCAGAAAGTATAGTATAATCTTTTTTTTATCTGAATATGCAACAAATTATCTTTTTTGTAATTATAAACTCAAACGACATAATGGAAAAGTTCAGAGAATTCATTATTATGAAGAAATACGTGCACATCCGTACAGATATGTACATAAAGTTTGCTACATCCATACAAAATCACTAAGCTTACTCACTTAAGAGGTTCATCAAATTTGACAGTGGCTGCTGAATGAAAAACAACAGAGACATCATTTGCAAGGAGAGTAACATCAGAGGGTCGTATGCCAAGGCCAGGAAGAGTTATGTCCCCATGAATTGGGACCAGCTTTGACAGCTGATGGGGTCGCTCTTTCCTAATATCATCAAAAATCTGTAATAAAGTTTAAACAAAAAACTGTTAACACAAAAAATTTTTTATCACAATGTTATAATACTGATATTTTTAAAAGATAATATATATATCTTACAGATATTATCAAAAAACTTAATTGACAATAATTGTAAATGATATGTTTAAATATGCATAGAGTGACACCTCTTGTTTGTTTAATAAAATTCCTATTCTGAAATTAGCCAGAGCTCATTTTTCATGTTGCAGTTGAAATAAAAAAAGGAAGGTTTATATCTATGGCAATTGAAAAACCAATATTTTCACAAAGTAAGCATTTGCATAAATGTTGTTTTCATGTTTTTGCAATTATCTAAACTTTAGTTATCATGAAAAGCTGTATGCCATAATTAAAAAATATCTTTCTACCCTTTAAGCAGGCAGTTTTTATTTTTTGTTGCTTGGCATTTGTGTTATTATTTTTGTTGGTTGATTGTTTCATCAGTGTCTTTAGTTGTTTACTGTAGTTTTGAAGTAATATTACTTATAACACTCAAATAGTGTAACCCCAACTTCTACATGATAAATATTTATTTAAAGAAGTAAGAAATTATATATAAGTTCAGTAATTTAAATGCCATTTAGAAGAAGAGAATTTGCAAGCACTGCTAAAACTACTTTAAATAAATCTTCACCAAAGCAAAAATACAATAATAAGGTTAAAACCAATAATACCAAGGCATAAATTATAAAATGGGAATTGAAAGAGAACAATCTTGATTTTGTCGATACCTGCAGAGGTATTAAGGATCAACATTGCAGCATACACGCAGTCTATATTTTAGTCCAACTTACAAATGACACATACCTGATAATAATTACTCTTATGAGCAGACCCAAGTGCTAACACTCCCAAAATTTTACATATTTTTCACTGACTGCTGGAGTTAAGTCATGTACCACTACTGGTGATCCATATCAACAGTATTTCAAATAATATATTTATAAATAATCTCCTTCCCAGATTGTCTTGCAAAACACACAAAAAAGATGCCAGAAATAAGGAATGTTATGAGATTAATCACTCGTATTAACTCTAATTAATGTATACAGTATATGAGTTATGGTCATAAAGGTTATTAAAAGTGCAGAGTAATCTTTGTATGGTATGTTTCTAAAACTGAAATGAATCTTGTAATTTCCATTTTCTAATTTTTGCAATGATGTCCTAAGATAAGTACTATATTTTTTGTTGATCTGCTTTAAATATAAAGAGCTCATTCATGTCACTTGAAATAATGTCACTTCTATAATACAAATTGATAATATTAGTTTTTTCAAATAAGAAATACACATCTTTTTTATAAAGTTATGGGTAAATCCATTTTCTGATCATAAGACTTTTCACCTAAAGTATAAATTTTAAAATAATAATAACTTCAGGAATAGAATATACATATTTTTAAACATAATTTAATGACAACTATATTGCAGAAAAGACCAACCTCACCAGTATAAATCTGTTTGTTCACAGCTTTGAATTTGACATGTGGCTTCATAATCTAACAAACAACTGTTGATAGATGAAAAATGTAAAGGTTTAATTTAGAAAAATTAATGGAGAAATTGGTTTTCATGAAGAAAGCAATTAAATATAAATTTTATAAATAAGAAACTACAATATCTGTTATGGATGCTCTTTAAAAAAAAAAAGATAACTTATCTTGCCTTAGCATTAAGAAGTTCTTCCATCCGTTCTCTTGGTTCCCGGCCTCCCTTAGACCGCAACAAAAGATAAATAGTCTTTACTCCACCGCAACATCGAAGCAATTTCTCAACCAATACCTAAGGATTAAAAAAAATAAATAAATCACATTATTAAATGTAGCATTCAACAAACACAAATTGAATAACTTAGTCATTATGCATAATGAGCCAACTTCTCATACATATAAAAAAGGAAAATAATAAACCTTGTGTAATAACTATATTTCTCATCACCTTAAAATTATTTATATGTTCATACAGTAGACCACAAGTTTTTAACTGAAAAATCACAAGCACTGGTATATCAATCATTACACTAGAGGGAAAACTTGTGCTTCTGATAGGAAATATTTTTTTTGGTTGTGGTATTTTGTATTTGAATGCAGAAAGTTTATAAAATATAAAGACAGTGCTGTGTATTCAAAGTAATTAAAACAGTTATGTGACCTTCCTAGGCTACTCACATATGAAGTTAGGTATGTAGAGTTCTAAATGAATCTGATGGCTGTGCAGGGTGTTTCAACGACTGCAACATTAAACCTAAGTGGGTGACACCTATTCCACAACATGTGACACCCATCAAACACCTCTAGTTCAAAATACATTTTGAGCCAAATGTTTTAATCGAAAATGGCAAATTGATCGACTTATCTAGTAAGAGACACCAGATCTAGCAATGCTTTCAAAACATGGGTATCATGGGCAAGTATTAAAAGTAAAACTCCCAGGGACCTATTCAATGGGATGATGATATTGGTACTCTAAATGTAGAAATTCACACACAAAACCTTACCATAGAAACACGGCTGTCTGAGATGTGGCTTTGAGGGATGACAGATCCATATGTCAAATTCCTTTCCATTTGCAATGCATTATACTATCTATGGTGAGGTCATCCATACTTCCCTACTCCTAATTTCATTTTGGAATAGCTTAATGAAGTTTAGTAAGCTTTCCACATATGCAGGCACATTACTCTTTAATTATATAGATGCCTAACATGTATAATTCACCAGTGAAATAGAGAACCTTCAGTAAGTAATACAAATCTCAAGTATTTTCAGTCCAATAAACAATCCACAATTATTTAACAGTCCAAACAATAACCATGTGTGTCAGCTCACTCATCAACAAGCCTTGAATAATTTACAGTTTAATTCAAAAACTATGAATGTTCAACTGACCAGCCAAGAAACCTTAAGTATTTAACAATACAGCCAATAAGCCACAAGTGTCTGTCTGAAAAACAAACAAATCTTTAGTATCTAACAATACAACCAATAAATTATAGGTGTTAATCAAACAATAAACCTTAAGCTAATGGACCAACCTATATTCACAAGTATTCATTTGACAAAATAAACTCACAGTTTTTAAATTGAAATTTAACCTGTCATATATTTAAAATACCAACAAAGAAACCTATAAAAAAGTTTAACAGGACACCTATCAATTTTGTAAGAACATGAAGAAAAAAAACAAATATCTTTAAAACTGTATCATTAACTAATAAATAATCCTGTCATAAATGTTTATGAAACTTAGTAAAAGCAATTAACTGTTCTTTTAATTTTGAATAACTTATTACTTTCTCTTTATAAAAAAAAAAACAAACAAGTCTTGTGAAAAAGCTAATGGCACAATTTAATGGATTTTTTCACCAACCTGCTCAACTTCTCCATATTACACATATACAGACATCTAGTTGTTTATTTCAGTTTAAAAATGTTTGGCTCTAAACACAAAGAAAATACAGTGTATCCCTACAGTTTGAAACTAAGTCTTGAATGTTAACTTTACAAGGTTCTGGATTTAGGATTTAAATACATTTACCAAACCATGGTGCCTGTAGCAACATAACCCTACATTTCTTTACAAGTCGATAATTTACATACACATTTATTTGGTTATTCAATACTGTTCACCTGAAATATTCTTAACAAAAAGTAAAATGTTGAGTATGCATACTATCTAGGGCTGCTCGAGTGAAAACTTCCCATTAAAAGTGATACAGTAAAATGTTGGGTATACTTGTTATCTAGGGCTGCTCAAGTTTAAATTTCCCATTAAAAGTGATACAGTAAAATGTTGGGTATACTTGTTATCTAGGGCTGCTCGTGTGAAAATTCCCATTAAAAGTGATACAGTAAAATGTTGGGTATACTTGTTACTAACAGCGCTAGCTAACAGGTATATTCAACGTTTTACCGTATTATCTTTATTGGGAAGTTTTCAAACTAGCAATATTAGATAATACGTGCACCCAAAATTTTACTGTATCACTTTAAATGGTAAGTTTTCACACGAGCAGCCCTAGATCACTTTTAACAAGAAGTTTTCACACATAGTAAAATGTTGGGTTACATGTTGTTAGCTAATACTGCTAGTGTGAAAAATTCCGAATAAAAGTAATACAATAAAATGATTATAAGTCTAGATGTGTCGTCTTTAATAAATGTCGGAAAAATCCACTCTTCACACACAACAAAAAATTGCCACAGGTCCCTTGTGACGGCTTAATCTATTATAATAATACTCAGTTTTTGTCTGTCCCGAAAATGCACGCGCACTTCGTTTCAACGGATGTAAACAAAAGGCAGGTGTAAATATAATTTTATATTTCATATAAAAATAAAGTTTTATAAAAGTCTAACGTTAGGTCGTAGAATGACATTATAAGTTTATTTACTTATATTATTAAGTACGTTAAATTTTAGCCCTAAATGAACTGAAGCAAAAAAACGTGCACAAGTTGGTGTTAATTTATCTCTATCAAATATAGACCGTACTTAATAAAGGTTTAACTAATGTTAGGACAAGAGGACCTATAGATTTCGGTGTCTGCCATTATAATACTTTTGTATTATGTTTTGTGGGTCTCTGCCCACCAACTGTAGACTGGGAATATAGTGACACTTTGCCTATAGTAACATTTGTCGTTACATATTAACCTGTACAGTTTGCTGAGCGACAAGTTTCTGAGGAAATAGATAAAAAAAAATCACAAGTTCGCGCGTTTTCCTAAAAGCGATTTGTTTATATCAATGATGTGAATAGATTTAGATAAAAAATGAAATGTAAATTTACCATATAAGTGTAACTTTCAATTAATGACTGATGTGTTGCTAGCTTTCTGACAAAAACCAAATCAGACTGTTACTGGCATTTTCAGTAAGAACGGCATCTTATGGTGCACATGGATTAAACAGACAAGTCAGAGGCCCATACGATTCAGCAAAGCCATTACCTAAATTAGAACTGTTGACAAAGGGAAACCAACCATTCAGCAAAACCACCGCCTATACGGCTATTCTGTACCGAAAAACGGGATAAGTTGTCAGAGTTATAACGCCACCATAACTGAAAATGCGGAGCGTGTTCAGTGGCATATCACGGATCGAACCTTGGACCTTCAGGTCCACAGCCTGACGCGCTAACAACTACGTCACACCTGGACAACTAAGTTAACCTGAGAGAGAAACACATAGCGAGTTACCTACTAAAAAACCAATGAAAATCATAAAAATGTTATAAGACATGCATTTCAGTGTATGAATGGTTTATTATCACCAAAAAAACAACATTTTAGTAGAAGAACCGGTTTGGCTAAGATTAACATAAATAATTTATCTTTATTTTCATCCAATGCAGTACTTGGAAAAGTACCATATTTTTTCCCTCTCTTAACTTAGCATTAACTTACAGACATTTAAAAAAATTCAGATGTATGAATTTTCAAACAGCTTACAGATTTTCCCATATAGAAAACTGGCCACCTGCAGTACTGGCCTTATTTCATGTGCCAGTTACACACAGTCAAGATGTGTGTGTCCCACTTAAGTATTTTTCTAGAAGTTTCTCACAGGCGATGTTAGTGAAGATTGTTTTTCTGATTTTATTTTTACTTTCTTTGGTAACATCGCCCTATCTAAGTTTAGAAATGCCTGGAGGTTAAACTCTCCCTATTTCCACTTGGGACAATCAATGTTGTACCAGCACGTGCGCGCTCTGCGAGAGATTACGTTATTGTTTTGTACATAATGATGTCACGATCTCTCAGTTTAGAACAGAAATGTCTGAAGAATAGACAAGTCTCTTTCTGTGATCTTGAAGCATCTTCCGACGTTCTGTCCACTATTTTTCAGACCTCTCGTTGTTTGATTAAATAAATTTTGATTTTACTTTCTTCAACTCAATCCAGTCCAACTTTAACTCCGTGATAGTTATCATGTACATTCCTCTTGTTATATGTGGTTAATACTTAAAACAGTATATTAATGAACCGTGGAACACTGAACCTTTAAAGGTAAACCTACAAAAAATCGAAAAGCATTGCTAAATTTTTTGCTTGAAAAAAACAAAAACAATTCTGAGTCATTATTCTGTTTTGTTTGTTATCTTAATCAGCATCTCTATACAAAATAGTAGCAACGAGTTAATAAGATGCCAAACAGCTATGTTTATGTGTTTCATTCTTGATTATTTAAAATAACAAAATTTTGATGAGTGGGTGTTTGTGTGTGTGTTTTCATTATTGTAAGGTTCTGATATCCTTGTTAGTAACAAGTGTGACCTAAAGCACAGACTATTGATACACAATGTACCATTGTTTGTAACAATCGGGATAAATAAAATGAATAACCAGAAAAGCATGATAATCCACTGATAAGGGAATTTCACGGTGGATACGAGAGGACTGTTTATTTTGTTTATGACAAAGCTACTATGACTATCTGCCGCTGTCTCTAATTTCGAAATACCTACCAGAAGAAAGGCGACAGAACCCACCTCCAACTCCTAAGTGGGATTGATTATCACATTATAACGCCCCCAGGGCTGAAAAAGCGAGCATATTCGGCGCCGGGTTTCGATCTCGTAACCTGTAGACTGCGAGTTGAACGTCCTAACCACCAGGACATACCAGGCGATACAAGAGGAAGAGAATAGCCATGACACTTCAGTTGAGTTAACTCCTTCGTTAACGGAAGGGAATAGCCATGACACTTCAACTGAGTTAACTCCTTCGTAACGGAAGGGAATAGCCATGACACTTCAACTGAGTTAACTCCTTCGTAACG